ACTTAATCCTTTATCCGGGACTGACCGCCCGGCAGATCCTCTCTTCACCATTCTCCCCGACTCTCTCCCACCTATTCTTACATGACTCTCGTCGATCCATGAATTAAATCGCTTCCATGACACACAGATGAACACCCATTCAGCAGTCAACACATCAGCCAACCGTCCACTCGTCAGATCCGTCTCATCTCACTGGTACCACAGCCTTCATCGCCTCTGTGTCCCTCTCCCCTGCATCCCTCCCCTCATAAAGTGCGTTGAACACACCATACAGCGACTGCACCTCACCCCTGGTCATCCCACCCCGCTGCAAAACGTTCCTCACCCTCTCAAACAGCAGCTGCCGACGCCTTGGACCCTCGTAAGCCGGGTTCGACGTCGTCTCGATGATCGTCTGCAGCCTCCCGAAGAAATGTGACAGCTCTTCTCTCGTCGCCAGGCGGTCGTTGTCGCGCATGTGTCGAGTGCTGTCCTGCCCTGTGTCGAGCGTCCAGTCGTCCAGCTGGTGGGCCGCCCCGGCCATGTCTGTGGCGAGGATGGTCTCACGCACGTGTGCCGATCGTTCGAGAAAGATCTCGTATAGGATGATGTTGACGGACTGCGCAAGGTTGAGGCTGCTGAAGTAGGGATTGGCGGGGATCTGGATGACCTCGTCGGCATAAGTCAGGTCCTCATTGGTCAGACCATTGGTCTCGGGACTACAGAAGCGACACACAGGGGGAGTGTGAGTGTGCCAAGTGGGCACTGTGTCTGTTGTATTTTCCTCACCCGAACATAATGGCAACTTTGTAGCCCTACACACACGCAGGACAGCAAATTTGTAAGACGCATGCCTTTGCTCTGAGATGTCCAGCAGTTGGCACCTGTTGGTCAGCAAGTCTGTGGACCTCTTTGGCCTGCCCTCGTGGCGTCCACACACGCGACGCGAGGCGGCCTCGCGCACGGGCTGTCGTCGCAAACACCCTCTCCACATCCTGAGCACACACACGTACAGGCACCATGTGTCATCGAACCATGTTAACATGTTAACATGGAGCCGGCCATTGATTTGTACCTTGAGGGCCTCCTTGAGTGAGGGAAACACCTCTGCCTCATCGAGAATCGCCTCCTGACAGCAGCACGTGGCCGAAACGGATCGATGCATCGCTTGCCAGCCAGTCTAGATAGCTTACGGCTCGGACGGCTCTCCCCCGTGCGTCATCGCTGCGGATGTCACACTGGGGATTCACCACACGCAGATTCGGCACCTGCGAAGGCAACGAAAGAAGTGAGTGAAAAGATTGTCGCTCGCATGCAGCTCGTGTCCACCTCACCCCGAAGTTCATCATGGCCCTCGCTGTCGCACCGACATTTTGGTCGAGGAACGGCTCGACCATGACGACCACCACTGAGCCGCCACTGGTGGTCACAAACTTCCAGGCGTCGTCCTTGGACATGTGGTTGGTGTTCTGCACACACCACCCAGCCATCCCCCATCACACACACACACAGAGACTGAGTGGATGCATGTCATAATGCGTTTCAGATTCATTGACCCACCTGCACGCGCATCTGCATGAGCCGTCTTCGGGCGCGCTGCACAGGCTTGCTCACGCCATGATGCAGTCGCTTCCGTGGCTGGACGACGAAAGCTGTGGCGCAGAGAGGCAGCGTGACGGCCAGCAGTGCCAGAAGGAGAATCATCGCAGCTTCGACGAGAAGAGCTTGGCATCAGTGCGCATCCGATCGGGAGAGATCTGCCGACGATCGGAATTCAGCTCGCAGAGCAAAACGGAGGGGACGAATGGGACGCTCCGGCGATGAAGGACGGTGGCCTTAGTGGCAGAGGGAAAGATCTTTTCGATTCATGAATTGCATCCTTGTGATGATGATGGCCTTCATCGACATCGCCGTCAACCTGACAGATCCCATGTACCAGGGCATCTATCACGACAAGCAGCGGCACGAGGCGGACCTGCAAAGAGTGCTGGAGAGGGCAAAGGCCGCAGGCGTGCACAAGATGATTGTCACAGGCACGCAGAGCAGACACACAGAATCAGTGAGTGAGATCTCTCTCTGGTGATTCACTGGTATCCATTGCATTGCAGGTGGCAGCTTGGAGGACAGCCAAAAGGCCATCGACCTCTGCAGGGAGTACGGTAAGCAGTGCATGGCATGGCATGGCAACCCCTTCAGAAACCATCCCCCCCATTTATTGATCCATTATGGTCACCTCCTTCCTTCATCCATCAGATCCGTCCGGCGGCGTGCTGTACTGCACTGTGGGCGTTCATCCGACCCGCTGCAATGACTTCATTGACAAGGCAGAGACCCCCGAGGCACACCTGAGGGCGCTGCGGGAGCTGGTGGAGGGCAACCGGGACAGAGTGGTGGCCATCGGGGAGATTGGCCTTGGTACGTACGTTGGCACAGAAACCGAGAGCATTGCTCAGCATTGTTGGCTGTGTTGTCATTGATTGGGTCTGCTTGCCTCACTCCTCAGATTTCGAGCGCGAGATGTTCTGTGTGGCTGACACGCAGAAACGGTACGAGAGAGGGCCGCGCATGGAGTGAGAGAGAGAGCGGCGGCCTGGCGTGTGTGTTGTGTTGTGGGTGTCAGGTTCTTCGAGGCGCACTTAGATCTTGTGGATGCTCTTGAGCTGCCGATGTTCCTGCACATGAGGGCGGCTGCCGACGCCTTCTGTGGTATCGATGGCCGCAAGCCTCGGTGCCAGCAGGGATGATGGCAATTTCGTGTTCTTCCGCTGCGATCATTGCAGACATCCTATCTCGGAATCGGCAGAAATGGGAGAGGGTTGGAGGGGTGTCGCACTCGTTCACCGGTGGGCAAACCCACACGGACGCACAGACGAGTGGAGTGGCTGCATGACGCGCTGCATTGGCTGGGTTTGTATGCTCAGGGACGGCAGAAGAGCTGCAGAAGGTCATTGATCTAGGCCTCTGCATCGGTAGAAAGAAAGGCTTCTCTCACCGCCCCGGAGTGTTCTGATGGATTTGATTGGCTCATGACCTGATCGATCAGGCCTGAATGGGTGTTCGCTCAAGACGGATGAGAACCTTGATGTGGCGGCACAGGTGCCGGAACATCTCGTCATGCTCGAAACAGGTCTGTCTGCAGCCCAAACCGACACGGGGCTCCTCGCTGCACATGTGTGTGTGTGTGTGTGTGTCCATGTCAGATGCCCCCTGGTGCGACATCCGCCCGACACACGCTTCCAGCAGTTTTGTCAAGACCGACATCGACTGCGTCAAGAAGCCCGAGAAATGGGAGCCGGCCAGGCAGGTCAAGGGGAGGAATGAGCCCTGCAACATGGTGCAGGTGGCGGAGGCGGTGTTCGGTGTGCGGGCTGCCAGGGGGAGGACAACACATGACTTCAACGCATTCTGCAACACGTGAGCGCCGCTGTGCATCCCGATTTGTGCGCGTGTGTGCACTCACTGGCTTGGTTCTGGTGTGGGTGTGCAGGGTGGTGTCCAACACGCTGCGGCTGTTCACCAAGCTGAAGGCCTAGGCGATTTTCATTGTGTGTCTGTGTGGGTTGACTGAGTATTTATTTGTGTGCGTGGCGTGGGGGAGAGAGTGGCTGCGTGACGGTTGATGTGACTTGACAGAAAGGCACGCCAGGCCATCCGACAGACACGCATCAGTCAGTCCCCCCATGACAGCAAAATTAGCTAAGTCAGTCTTTGCACATCGATCAATCAGCATGGCATGCAGCAGAGGTTTGGCACCTCAAAGTGGGGTACACCCTCACAAACACGGATAAACACACAGCCCCTCCCTACACACACAAACAAACCACTTAGCCCACACCCAGCTAGAAGGAGAGACCCACTCGACTACTCTATGGTGAACTCTACAACGCCCTTATGTCGCCTAGTATCATCAATATCATCATCATCAAGCCCATCATCCTCACTGCCGCCGCCATCGCCCTCGCCGCTCTGGGTGCGGCTGGGCAGGGCAATCCCGCCCGTGGTGCCCTGCCTGTCCCTCCCCCGCCCCCTCGGCTGCATCTCCTGCAGCATTCCCTTGTCCTCCTTCAGGGCCACATACCGCCGCTGACGCTGGCCGTAGCACACGTAGTGCTGACACAAGATCACACAGCACCAAAATATCTGCCAACACAACACAACACAACACACACACACGAGGCACTGAATGAGTGGAACAAAGTGTGTGTGTGTGTCTGTGTGTGTCAAATAGGGGTTACTTACCGATGCTAGGCTGACGGCCATTTTGGGTATGTTGCCGAAGACGAAGGAGGAGTCGCCGTAGTGAAGGGCGTCGAGGACGTTCTGCAGCATCGAGAACAGACCACCGCACAGATCCAACTGGATGTGCTGAATCGCCATCCCTGTCAGAAAGACACACAGACACGGATGGTACCTACCGTGTGTCGCCCGCCGCTTGTTTGGCTTGGCACATCAATAGGTACTCACCATGTGTGGATCTGCGTGTGAAGTTGAGCTTCACTTGGGGGATGTACTTGATCACCGTAATGCCCGCCTTCACCAGACCTGCACACACACACAAAAGACACACACACAGGGGATGTTCCCTCCACTCGCCCATTCCCTGCAGGTATTCCGTCCCCTCCCTCCCCCAAGCCGCCCACCAAGGTAGGTGACGACGCTGTATGTCTGCCAGGCGACCTTCTCCCTCCCCTGCGTCAGCGGCGTCAGGTCCACCCACGGCATCACGCCCCCAAAAGCCAGCAGGGATTGGAACACAAGTCCCGCAAACATGAGGAAGCACAGCAGCAGGCACGTCCTCGAGTGGATCTGCCCGCCCCGGTGCAGCGACTGTATCTGCATCTCAATCAGCATCGTGGCCGCCATGCTGTGGCACGCGAAGAAGACGTCATGCGGTTCCACGGCTGACGGCAGGGCGTATCGCGTCTCGAGGAAGAATGACGAGACCGTGTAGAGGCTGTAGGCCGAGTAGCCCACGACGTTGTAGAAGTTGAGGTCCAGGCTGTAGCCCTCCACGCTCTTCCGCTGGTGGTTCAGTATCACCTGGGGGTAGAAACAGACCGTCCAGCAGAAGACGTACGCCACACCACACAGGAAGGACAGCACCCCCAAGACGCTCGAGAACTGACCCCCAGCCGTCGCGTCGCCTTCGTCAACACCCCGCAGCAGTGGCGCCATGTACGCCTTCACCGTCGACACCCCTTCACCCGACTTGGACCGCACCTTGTAGAAGGCCCGCCACTTCTGCCCCGTCACAATCACCGGCAGGTTGGCCTCCTGCCGCCTCAGGCGGCCAGCAAACATCACTCCAGCCACACAGCACTTGAAGTCCGGCTCAGTCGTCATCAGCTCTCGGCAGGAGAAAGCAAGAGGGGCCTCGCCGGTGGTGGTGCGTGCCACATTAAGTGTGAGCAGCCAGGAGGTCTCTCTGACAGCCACGATAACACGGCCGGTCAGCCCGTCGCCCGGGATGGCGTCGATTGCGTCCAGCTGCAGGCCGCTCACGCCGGGCGGTATCTTGCCGATGTGCCAGGCGATCTCCTTGTCGCACGTCGATACGTTGAACCTCTGCAGGTACTGCAGGGTCTCGGCGTCGAGCACGTGGATGCTCTCCGACCGATTGGTCAGCAGCACATAGCGGCCGAAGTGCGTAAGGCCCCAGGGGCCCTTGCTGATGCCCTGGGTGACTTGTGCCGACAGCGGGGCGTTCGATGTGACGACAGGGTGTGCCGGGGGGAGAGGGACTGTCACGAGCTCAGCGATGGGGGGCTCGGTAGCGGTGGCGTTGTCGGCTCTCTGAGGTAGCGTGATGACGGCGATCTCCGACCAGTTGCTTGGCGAGAGGGTCAGCCCCCTGAGGGTCCATCCAGCGGGAAAGGCCACCTCCTGCACCATGCGGACGTCCAGCGCCTTCTTGCCGCCCTGCTGCCTCATCCGCCAGACGAAGAGCTTGCCGTCCTCTGTGCTGTTGCCTGCAATGGAGGTCTCGATGAAGTGCGTGTCGTTGATTCGGGCGAGGCCCTGCGTGTTGGCGTCGGTGCGGTGGGTGAGGGACTTGCCCTCGACGCGCAGATGGAAGAAAGGCTCCTGACAGGGAGGACACACACAGACATCCATCCATCCAGCCACCCACGAGCAGTGTTCCACCCACTTCGGCCTCCCACCTTCTTGTCGGTACTCTTCTTGCTCGTTCGTTGCAGCAGCGCCTTAGCCTGTGCCGCGTGCACCTGCTCCATTATAGCTGTCGTCTGCGTGCCGTCGAAGACCCTCTCGCCAGCACCCTTCAAGTTGCTCTGATCATCAGCATCATCGCCATCAGCATCATCGCCTCGCTGTGACCGGGCGAGGGCCGCAGCGAGAGCAACAGCAGCGATGCACAACAGACATGACGTGAGGCGCATCTGCCGCCGCGGCGGCATCCGTAACCGCCAGTGACTCATTCTTCCGCTGCACTTCGTTGACAAGTGCTGAACCGCATAGATTTCGACGGATCTTGGCCCTGCTGCTCGCCTGTTAGTCCAGTATGCCGTTCTTCGGCCAAGAGAGGCTCCGATCTCTCTGTTTGCGTTTTCTTTTCAAGAGTTAGAGCGGAGACCGAGTTACACGGGCGAGATCTACGAGACATGAGTTTGCGATGGTTGTGGACTCAAACTTGCGTGTCCATGAGACCTCCGTCGTCACTGAATGCTTCTTTCGGCTTCGTCACATTCCTACTCGCTACCCCGAGCTACTGCTGATACTCCAACTGGTTATGAACGCCCACATCGGGTGTGATGAGCCATCTGGCGTGCCTTCCCTCACCATCTGTCGAGACACCATCTTCCCGGTGATGATGACCGAGCAACGTGATGTCATCCAACAAATGCCACACAGTGAGTTGTGGTACAAGATGGCCGATGGCATCGCCGCCAACCCTCCTCGCTTCAGCGGCAAAGAGAGCGACTACCACAGCTGGCGTCAGTCGTTCGCTGGCATGTTCTATGGCATCGATGGCATGGCCAAGTACTTCCATCCGTCAACCGATGACGAGCTGTCGGTGACGAGTCGCTCACAGATGTCCAACGCCGCAACATGAGGATGGAAAGATGGATGTTGTGGAGAGCACTGGACAGGGCCACAGAGGGCAAGGACTGTCAAGGAACGGTCCAGGAGGCAACCACCACACACGATGGGTATGTGTCT